TGCAGGCTCCCTCTATATGCCTGCTGCCTGGGAGTTCTGAAACAATGCCCTGCAAACCACAGAGGAGGAACTCCTCTGTTGGATTTGTGTCTGTCTGGATGTGATGTGGTCAGTGTTTCCCCTCCCAGCAAGGTAGCAGTGCTTAGCACTGTGTACAATAACAACCTCCTCAGACTGTCCAGTTCGCTGCCCTGTGCACTTCCTCACTCCCATTTACTTCCCAATTCCCACTTTCAGGTCACCTCCCCATCCCAAAGTATAATGCACATTGCCCTGTGCACTCCCTCACTTCCATTTACTTCCCCATCCTCACTTACATGTCACCTCCCCATCCCAAAGTATAATGCACCCTGCCCTGTGCAATCCCTCACTCCCATTTACTTCCCCATGCCCACTTGCAACCTTGCATTACAGCCAATAGGGTTTACAGTTTTTTTGGGGGGGGTTATATTTTAAAAATGCACTTCTGTTTGTCAAAAATGTTTTGTTTGTTTATGAAACTTGGTTTTAGTTATAAAGACGTTATATATCACAATGGCAAAATCTGTGTCTGTGAAAATTGACAAAAGCATGAGTGAAACTTTAGCTCTGTTACAAAAGGCTTATGGTGAACATTCCATGAAGAAAGCAAGTGTTTTTAAATGACCTTAAAGGTTTAAGGAGGGGCAGAAAGGTGTCCATGATGATGCAAGCCAAAAACACAAAGGACAGAAGCAAATGTGGACTGAATGAGAACCCTCATACACTCATATTGAAGATTGAGTGTGTAAATGATGGCAGAAGAATTGAACATGAACAGAGAAACAGTGCGGCAAATTCTAATGGTGGATTTGGGAATGAGAAGAATTTTCACAAAGATGATGCCTCGAATCCTGAGAGAAGATCAGAAAGAACATTGTTTTGAAATTTCATCCAATCTTTGGAAGAATGCAGAGGTGTTTAATAGGGTTATTAAATGAAAACATGATGTTTCCAGTATGATCTGGAAACAAAACATCATAGAACATGGTACAATGGTCAATCAACATTGTTACTTGGGAGTTATGAAAAGGTCACGGTAATCAGTTCAGAGGAAAAGACTGGAACTCTGGCCTGATAAGTGGATTCTCCCACCATGGCAATGCTCCTGCACATGATGCGTTAAGTGCTTACAAGTTCCTGGTTCAGAAATCCATTCTGAAAATTGACCAACCACCTTATTCCCATGACTTGGCTACCTGCAACTTTTGGCTGTTTCCAAAATTAGAAAATGCCTTTAAAGGACACAGATTATTATTATTATATAGGATTTATATAGCGCCAACAGTTTGCACAGCGCTTTACAAAATGAAGGTAGACATTATAGTTACAATACAATTTGCTACGAAAGGAAACAGAGGGCCCTGCCCGTTAGAGTTTACAATCTAGGATTGATTGATGACATTCCGGATATCCAGCATGCCCTGACAAAGATACTGCGCAGCTCTCCAGGAGACAAATTCCAAGAAAGTTTCCAGCAGTGGCACAGTCGCTACTACTTTGAAGGTGACAACAGCCACCAATGTATAAGTAAGCACACATTTTTTTACAGTCCATTCCAGAAATTCAATTGTCACACCTTGTACTTGTGGTAAAAAGTATCCTGTTCTCCTTGCATTGCTTCCTTTGTGTGAAAGACCTGGTGATCCTGCTAATGCACCTGCTTTCCTTTTTCAAACTGACCATGCTAGGCATGAGAGCACATCCAGCTCAGAGTGGTCAATTTCCTGACTGTGCTTAAGCACAGCCTGCCAATGGCTAATACTTGTCCTGATACGACTCCCCCCCCACGCACAGCTCTTCACTGGGAATCACTTAAAAAATAATAATTTCATCCTTTTTTTTAAATATATATATTATACACATATGTTCTGCCTTTCATTTCTGTTTTAAAACTGAATGGGCTGTTTTAACAGCTAAGGGTCCACATATACTTTAAGGACATGGTTACAGTAAATGTTTTAGGGAACCTGTGCTTAGAGATCTATAAAGGCTTCAGTTTTATTCCCTCTGTTTTTCAACAGGCTAGTTGCCTGGCAATCATGCTACCTCACAGAGAAAGAGAAATTGAAATCAAACGCTCTGACTTCACTTTCTGCATGCTTGTTCCAGTACACAGGATCAGCAGGGACATCAGGCAACTAGTATTTTTATAACAAAGCCAGCATCAGTAATCTGATTATTTCACTTAGTACAAATTTCCAATGACACAAGACAGGGAAACAGCTAATACATGTTTGTACATGTGCTTGTGCATGTTTGATTAGTATTCTGTGGAGTCCAAAGGTCTAAATCCGGTGTGTTTATCTATGCAAAACTATGGTAAAGATTTTTACTCAACTTATATTGTGACACAAAAAGTTATAGGTTTGTTAGTATTGATAGTCAAAGCATATTAGTATTTCAGGTGTCTAGAAATGTTTGAATCATTAGTTGTATACTTTCTCTCGCTGTTTCAACTAAATTCAGTAAAACCAAAGAACACATAATAGTTCTGCACAGTTTTTAACATCCTAAAAAGTGTCTTGCTTTATACTTTATATATATATATTCTTTATTATAATTTTTGATTGATTTTAACATTTTTACATGCTTCTTCTTTTAGTGCTTGTTTACACACTTGCAGCCATCACTACCACCCTCTACAAAGCAATCCCATGCTGGACCACTTTCAGAGGCATTTGACAGGTGGCTCAGAAGCAATATTTCTCTTCCTGGATAAATGTTTTAATCCTTGAAAGCCCCCCCACAATGTGTGCATTACAGGTTTTGCAGGGCGGTTGCCTTGCAGCACCATTCACTTGAATGAGTCGTGTTTGATGGAAATACTGTCTACCAAATGCCTAATATGGTGAATTTTCACAGCACCACAACCGCGGCAGTGTGTACTAACATGGCCATGGTAACTACCAGCGGGGTGATCTGGTGATCTGGATGTTGTAAATCAGAGGCAGCCCTTGGCTGCTTGTGTATACAAGGCCTATCATTTGTGGGAGTGGGAGGGGGCGGGGTTAGTTCAATGCTTTTTTACTTTGTTTTTTTTAAATATACGTAGAATAATACAGGTATTATAGGAACGCAAACATTTGCAAGGTACAGTATAACAAACATGTGCGTGGATAGGTTACAGAGATTGAAAACATCAATAGAATTTAACACAAAGTAACATGTCTGTTCACAGCACATGGTTGACTAAACTTTATACGGTTTGTAAAAAAATATTAGGATAACACAAATTCTAATTGCACTATCAGGGTTGCAGTGTTGATAATAAACCAAAGGTGAAAACTTCCTATATTGCAGCTAACCAATTCTTATATGGGATAGCTGCATTGTTTTTTTTTTAGGTTTTCTTCTATTTTTACCTGGTGATCTGGCCAGTAAGTCTGTTGTTTTTCAAAAGAACAAGTTTTCCAGCAGAATGTATCTATTAAATGGATGTGACAAACCACGTAACACTGACAGGGGTACTTACAATGATCAATTTTTATTTATATAAAATATTTATCCCAAAAAGGAAAAAAAAAATGTTTGCTGTAACTGCTTATAAAGTATTGGCTGGAGTTTGGCTTAAATGTTTTAGTGTATTTAAAGTGGTAGGAAAAAAGTCCCCTGCAAAGTAAAGGCATAATGTGTTAGTATGCGTCGCATACTAGCACATTATCCAATACTTACCTTAAAACGAAGCCCTCCAGCGGCACGCTGTCACGCTGTAGAGCCTTCCATCGGCACCCGTCTTCCTTCCGGGTTCGCTGAGCCGCGATGACGTCACTCCTGCGCATGAGCACGGAAGTCTCGAGACATGGCAAAGTGTTCTGAAAGAAGAGCACGGGTATGTCATTCCTTCAGAGCCCATGTGCTGGTTGTAAAAAACCCGAATATCTCCTTAACAGTGCATGTTTAGCAGATATTCATTTTACCTACAGATAAACTTTATGATAAGCTTACCTGTAGGTAAAAATGAACAAAGTGGCTTTACTACCACTTTAAATCTGCTACTATATCTAAAACTCCCCTCCCCCCAGACTGACAATGTTGCTGTGCAAAGGTGCCCCCATGCTCTTTCATCCAGTGTGGGAAGGAAGTGAGTCACCAGTACACCAAGCATCTCCAGAATGGGATGCCTGAAGAAGGGGTGCTGCGAGGCTCCGAAACGTTGCTATTGTAACCATGATCCCTGAATAAAGCTTTGGACGTGTTCTGGAGTTCATTGGTTTGCTGGTGACATACTTCTTGCCCTGAATGTCTTTGGTTTCAAGTCGGTTGGACGCTGCAGCATCCATTTACATTTACAGCCAATTTCAGGAATGTGTGGGTTGGAAATATTGTACATGAATTCATCCAGAGTGGGGGCACTTTAATACAGGAGGTGTGTTACTGGCCAAATCACCAGTTGACAACAGAGGAAAAAAAAGCCTGCAAAAAGAAAATTAATGCAGCCACGACATCTGATGACTAGTAAGCTGTAAACACATAACACCTTAATAAACACATTAAAGCAAGAGTACTCACATCAGGTAATTACATCAACATCTTCTTAGAGTCTCTGAATCTGGGAAGGAGGGGGTTGAAGCAGTCAATGCTAGTTTGGACACAGAGACCCCACATCTGTATGTTGGTCCTCCAGTTCTCAGAGTCTGTGTGTTTTGGGAAGACATGGACTTGAATCCCAAGTAAACTACTTCAAAAGGTCCCCCCCCAGGCACACATTAAAGAATAGAACTCCCTCAGATGCCTGGGCCATGGTCAGTAGGCAAGAGGCTAGCCTGCAGTACTGTCAGGAATGGACTACCCACTGGTGGTGCTGTGGCTCACTTGCTCTGTGGGCAGCAGTACCAGCTCCTACCAGAGGGTGCTTTCAGCAGCCAGGGTCTCACTCCTGCAATCAAGCCATCACCTGAGGCTGATTGCAGGAGGTCTATTTAAGCAGGACCAGGCCTGCAATCAGGGCCTTGGTGTTTGTTTCCCATGAGCCCTTGTACCTGGTATCCTGTGAATCTTCTGCTGCCGACCTCTGCATTGTTCCTGACCCTGCTGACCGTCACCTGTTTAACCCCTGGCTTGCCTGACCATCCTTCTGCCTGATCCTCTGTACCGTGCTGCCCGTGAGTTACTGAACCCGGCTTGTGACCCTGACCATTCTCTGCCTGCTCCTCCGGTACCTCGCTGCCAGCACGTTGCTGACCTGGCCTGCCTGACTACGCCTTACACTACCCAAACGATCCATCCATCCCGCATGGATCTGTCCCTGTTACCAGGTCTGCCAGCCTCTTCACGTTAGGCTCCTTTCCCCGCACACCTCTGACGACGCTCTCTACCATTGCTGGATGTACTCAGGGGTCACGACCTGGTCTTAGTCTGCTCCAAGTCAATCCCCACCATCAGGGGCCCTGGTGAATAAGCAGATTGGGACTTAGACCCCGCTCCCTGAGGAACCCCGTGCTGTGGGCTGCTAGAGACACTGCCAGGCGGTGCTTAACAGTACCAAACGGCCTGTCTGACCATTCCACCTCTCCAGCCCTGACTACACCTGTGTTCCCACACATTTCTGGTCATACCCGGATCCCTAACAAGTACCCTCCAAAAGCTCCTGTTCCAGTTGAGTCTGACAAAAGTATAATGAGAGAGATATTGCCGTACCAGACTGTCATCCTTAGGGATGAGACCCCAGTATCAGTCCCCAAAGTATAAGATAAAACTTTCCGGGTAGGTAAAGTCCATATTATTAAAGAGTCTCTATGAAAAATGGGAGTAAGGTGGGACTTGATCCACGGCTCCCAAATTTTACGAAATGTCTCCATAGTATTAGTTTGTATAGCAGTAAATTTCTTGAAGAACATGCTCTAAGTCTGCAAAGGTTGTTGTTTGGGACTTCCATGCTGTAGTTGTCACTTTTCTGACAGCTGAAATTGGTTTGTGGAATAAACTGCATTTTCTTTTCAAGATGACTTTGTAGGGATAAATCTGTGTCTGTATAAACAAAATGGTAGACCCTGGTCCAAAAGTGTTTGCCTTGGGACTGTCCCACCGGCCTGGTATCTGTTTAAATAGAGTGACAGGTAGCAGTGGAGGAGTTTATAATTGACTTCTAGTGTCAGTTCCTGGCTTAGGCTCCTAGCCATGGCAGATGATAAGAAGGTTCCCATGGTACAAACAGCCATTGGAATTGGTACAATTTGTATGAAAATAAAAAAATATGCAAAATACATGTGCACAAGGTGTCAGTGAATTGAAGTGTTTGCTCACCAATGCGAGAAGTCTGCCAAGAAAAATAGGTGAGCTAGATGCTTTGGTGCATGAACAGAACTATGATTTAATTGGTATTGATGAATCTTGGCTTCATTCTTCACATGACTGGGCCATTAATATTTCTGGTTATGTTCTCTTTCAGAGAGACAGGGTAAAAAGGAAAGGTGGTGGTGTCTGTCTCTATGTGAGAAGTAATCTCAGAGTGAGTGTGAAAGAGGACCTAGTTGATGGAGAGTGTGATGAGGCTGAAGCATTAGGAGTGGAACTGCACATGGGGGTGTGTACTACAAAGGTAAACATTGGAGTTTGTTATAGGCCTCCCAGTGTTAATGAAGAGGTGGAGACTCAGCTCTTTGAACAGATCGCAAGGGCTGGGACAGTGATAATAATGGGGGATTTTAACTACCCGGAAATTGACTGGAGTAACTGTACTGCAGGAACAGTTAAAGGGCAAATATGTATAAATCTTCTACAGGACAATTTTATGGTACAGTTCCTAGAGGCACCAACTAGGAATGATGCTCTGCTGGACCTGGTAATCTCAAACCATGCAGAGCTTATTACGAATGTCCATATAAAAGAACATCTGGGTTGTAGTGACCATAACATGATTTCATTTATTGTTAGCTGTAAACAACAAGCACATATGGGAAAAATAAAAATGTTCAACTTCAAGAGAGCTAAATTTCCAAGGCTGAGAGCTGCTCTCCAAGACTTAGACTGGGAGGGAAATTTATTAAATACCTTCTTCAGCTTTGTGTATCCAAAGGAGCATGGGGGAGCTCTTGTGCATAATGGGCATGGTATTGACACAGCTCCAGATGAGCCACATTGGCTCGCAATTGATAAGATCCAGAAATATTTAGACAGAATAAAGATGAATAAAGCACCTGGACCGGATGGCATACACTCAAGGATCCTTAAAGATTGAGCTCTGTCATTTCAAAGCCATTGTTTTTCATTTTTAGGGACTCTTTAATGATTGGCATAGTACCACTGCATTGGCGTAAGGCCAATGTGGTGCCTATATTTAAAAAGGGGTCAAAATCTTTACCAAGTAATTATAGACCTTTTAGTTTAACTTCTATAGTTGGAGAGTTTAATAAAAGACCACATAGGTAAGTTCTTGCTGGAAAAAAAATATTTTAAGCAACAGACAGCATGGATTCACGAAAGACAGAAGTTGTCAAACAAATCCGATTTCTTTTTATGAGGAGGTGAGCAAAACCTTGGACAGAAGGGTGGCTGTGGATGTGATATACTTGGATGTTGCAAAAGCGTTTGACACAGTTCCCCACACACAGCTAATGTGTAAGGTAAATGGATAGAAACTGGCTAAAAGATCGTATTCAGAGAGTAGTGGTTAATGATTCAACTAAGCAGCTTCCAGGAACGTTATTTACAATTTTCAATAGTCAAAATGGCCACTCCACCACTTCCGGTTTGAGAAATTACGTCAGACGTCACTTCCGGACTTCAGTGGCCATTTTGACTATTGGAAAATCATGTATAACGTTCCTGGAAGCTGCTCAGGCTGAGTCATGGGAACTGACTGACGGTTTTTACTATCCCTAATGTAAGCATGTATATTAAATGTATCCACTATATTGTGCTACATGGGCTTTTCTCTCTTATTGCATTAGGATGATGGAGTGATAAGGGCTTCCCTTAAGGATTGGAACCCCATACACAGCATTCTGGAGTAGGAGTCTGAGAAGTAACTACAACACCTGAATGTTCTCTGTTAAGGCTTGAAATTACTCTTGAGAGGGTAATTGTATGCATTTTTGCACTATAGAAGTGTTCACGGAGTGTTCACCTTTAATATACTTTATTTATTTTTTTTTCTTTTTAATATTTTTATATATTTTTTTATTTTTCATTTATTTGAGTTATTTATGTATATATTTTATTTATTTATGGTATATATTTATTTTTTTTGTTTATCTCTGAGTGTACACTGTTTGCCACATTTATTTATCATTTATTTTAAAGTGTACACAGAGTGATCTCACGATTCACGTGTTACTCACGTTTTTGAATCTTGGTTTGTTTTGCACGTATTTAAGTATATACTTATTGGTTGGTAAAGTATATACCGATGTTATTGAGGTAATACACTATTTTAGTTTTATATTTTTTTGAGGTACTCACCTGATCTGGATTTATGGGAACATTGAAGTTGGACACAGAAGATTGATTTAATTTTAGACATTATTATTTTATACACATTGACTGACACAAAAAAGGTTTATAATATTAATATTTACTTTCAAGGGTGAATTTTTGAATTATTTGATTTTACACAAGTTTGGTTTATATATAATTTGTAGTAATTTGGGATACCGAATACTGATTAATTTACACGTGAATCATGCGGACCACATCCAGGGAATGCAAGGCCACCTCTTTAGGGTGCGTCGGTCGAGGACAGAGCGAGAGAAGAACAATATCCTAATTCAAATGAAAATCCGACACCATCTTCGGCAGAAAAGAAGGGGAAGGCCGAAGCACTACCTTGTCTTTGTGTAAAACCTTATAAGGAAGCTTACAGGACAAAGCTGCCAGCTCTGACACCCTCCAAGCAGAAGTGATAGCAACCAAGAAGGCAACCTTTTGTAAAAGCATAAGCAAAGGGATTTCCTGAATGGCCTCAAATGGAGGCCTCTGAAGAGCCGACTGCACCAAATTCAAATCCCACGGTGACAAAGGGGAGCGTACAGGATGGACCACGTGATGAACCCCCTGAATGAAAGTACGGACGAAAGTATGCGTAGCTAAGGGCCGCTGAAAGAAAACAGCCAGAGCAGAGACTTGACCCTTGATCGTATTCGCAAGCTGCTGATCCACACTCCATTAGGAGGAAGGCCAACACCTGAGCCACAACAAAGGAAGACGGGTGGAACCCCAAGGCTTCACACCAACCAATATAGGCTCTCCAGGTGTGATGATAAATATTCCAGGAGGTAGACATATTAGCCTTTAACCTAGTCGGAATCAATGAGCTAGACAACCCCCTATCCTTCAGAACCTGGCTCTCAAAGGCCACACTATCAAAGTCAGTGATAGTAAAGCAGGGTGGAAGACCAGCCTTTGCGACAGAAGATCTTTCTGAAGAGGTAGTCTCCAGGAAGTATCCGCCTCCAATCGCACCACATCAGCATACCACGGATGACGAGGCCAGTCCGGAGCAATAAGGATGACTGGGATCCCTTCGACCTTTATCCTGCGCAGTAGACGAGGAATCAGTCAAAGGGGTGTAAAGGCATACATGAGAGTGTACTGATCCCACGGTGCCACCAGCGCATCCACAAGGGGATACAATGATTGTGCCATGAACCATGGAACCTTCCGATTGAGGCGGGAAGCCAGAAGATCTACATCCAGAGTCCCCCAGTGAATGCAGAGCTGATGGAATACTTCTGGATACAGGGACCACTCGCCCTGATCCAACATCTGATGGCAGAGATAATCCGCTTTCCAGTTTTCAATACCTGGAATGTGTACGGCGGACAGAGCCAGAATGAACCTCTTTGCCCATTGCAGAATGTGAGATGCCTCCAGCGCTGCACTTCTTGTGCCCCCTTGATGATTGACATACTTCACCGCAGTGGCATTGTCTGACTGAGTCCTTGTTGGCAGACCAGACAGATGTCCAATGTGTCAGTGACAACCTGATCACCCCAAGCTCCAGGATATTGATGGGTAAGCGAGCTTCCCCTAGAGTCCATAAGCCCTGAGCTCCCAGGACTCTTCCCCAGCCCAACAGGCTGGCATCTGTTGTGACCACAGTCCAGCGAACTGGGAGGAAAGACTTTCCATTCCGTAGAGCTGGGGACTTCATCCAGCAAAGATGGGAGGCCCTCATCGACCGTTCCAGATGAATCCGAAGGTCCAAGGAGGCAGAATTCCTGTTCCATTTCGATAGGATTTCCCTCTGTAGTGTTCT